TTGTGAAATATAGCATTCATGCTGGTTTAGTGAGGCATATCCAGTGTTGCAAATATTTGTTTGTAATGTCGAATATTTGCCCAGCATTTCATTAATGTACAACTAGCATGAACAGAGATGCTATGATTTGTGAAGAATGATAACTGTATTTTTATTCAATTTGTTCTGCTGTTGTTTTTCCATTGGCATGATCACATCAAGTGCAAATTAGGTGGTGACATACCCATGTTTCCACATTGATTTTAATCCATATTTGTGATAAAACGGTCACTGTGGATTTTGAGATCTTTTGAGATCACAATGGCGAGGGGGTGCTCTTTTATTTGGTCACCCAGTGACATCACATGGTACATTTCCAGACCAAGAGTGCATTCAGAAAAGCAGACTTATAAATCTGCTCATCAAATATGGTGACCCACCAAAAAACTTGCCGCTTAATTCCCGATTAGACACTGAATAGATTCCTCACGGGGATTGCACAACAAGCATTCAAGTGGGTCAGCCATATCTGATTCGTGGATCTGTTAGTCCCCTGTTCTGAATGTGGCCTAAGTAAATCCTGATGAAGATTTGCCAACTAATGCTGCATGTCGTTTTGTCCAACTGCAAGTTTGTCTTGAAAATTGTGTGAGTTTGACACACTCAGATATAAACATCATGGCAGGGGCATTGTCAATATATTTTACTTTGGCATCAAATGTAGCTTGCTTCTGACTCAAAATGTGTTTTTTAATTACAAAATAATCTTGTTCTCTTTCTACAGGAGTGGTTACCCCGACAGCAATTATCTCCCACAGCTTCAAGAACGCCTGCGTTCCCTGGGTCTGCAGTGAAGTTGTACAAGTACATAACAAGGAATGATCATATAATGGGCAGTCGGCCACATTTATATGTAGACTATTAATAATATAGAATATTAGGGTATATTATAGAACTGTAATTGTTGCATTTTATATGTTTAATTCATTGATGTGAAACTTAAACAAGTATATGCATATACCAAGTTGATATATAAACATGAAGTTATGTGTAAATTAATTTTTTTGATGTGTAGATTTGGTAGCATTGATGTACATTTATATGTGAAAACAGATGCTTGTTAAATACATGATTTCCTTTGCAAGAACTTTCAAAATTATCTAAAAATAAAACTAAATATGTAGTGTGAAAAGAAAAAAAAACAGATTATTGAAGTTTTATTGAAACCTTATTTTAAAGGCACAATACGTAAGATGTGTAGAAATTGTATTTGAAATACATTATTAGCTAATACAGAAGGTATGTAAAATTTGGTTAAGTACCTTTGGGTACTTCTTTTCATTAAGTTCACAGACATAAGGCTGATGGCTGACATAAGGCTGATTAATGACAGTTTGAAAAGATATCTTAGCCTCAGTTCTGTATATCACACTGAATAGTGGACTTAAAATTTGAAGGCAAATATTTACTAGATGGCTGTTGGAGTTTGAAAATTGGGTAGCACATAAGCTGAATTGCATGCCCTGTTGCAAAATGTACACATTGAGAAAATCCTGGAAGTTTCACATTTTTAATATGCCAGGTCCAAATAGATGACTTGAAAAGAGGTTTATATATTGTAACAATTTTGGATAAGATGTACTGCAGTGTTTAAGAGGAACATTATTAATTTTCTTGCTAGCTCATGCATCCATAATTTTTAAATTTGCACACCAAATGTAAAAAATTCTTTTTCTGACCTACCGCAGAATAGTCAATAAAGCAAAGGGAGTAGAGATGCCCCCCTGCCAATATCACAAGGATTTTCAGCAAAAAAAAAAAAGAAAAAAAAATTGTGGTTGGGTTTAGAACTGATAATTGCTTTATAAAGCACTTTGAGCTTAATTTTGGTGTGCCATCTCTTACAAAAGCTTTAAATCCAGCACAATTTGTTCTGGAGAGGCCTACACGTGTAACATGACATGTTTGCTTGCTATTTGCTACGCAGCATTAAAGGCCAAATATGAACATGCAAAGTTGGAAGCATATTTGAATAACCATTTGTAAATCAAATATATGTGCCATGCATGTTACATGTTATATGATAATCTTATATCCTAGTGCTATTGTATTGTAATCTAGTTCCTTTGAAAGAATTGAGTCAATACCATGTGTGTTAAATATTCAAGATATATATGTACAAAATTTAATTATCATTCTGAGTTATTGGTGTTTCATCTTTGCTTTCAATTTCAATTATCAGACTGCAAAATGGTGTAGAAAAAAATTTTTTATCGGATTATATTGTAATTTTCTTTAGAACAGCTACTTCCTTGGAAGAAAAGAAACAGAAGATCAAGTATTAAGTGGAGCTGGGCTGGGCATTCATATTATTGATACACCAAGCAGAGACTAAGAATCTACTTGACCAGTGAAATGATTGCTCAGCACAGGCATAATGAAATCACTTTGTTTATCGCCAACTCTAAATACAGGTTGTCCTCTTAATTCTTCTTTAAAATATTTTTGACTGTTTATTAAATAAAAAAGGCCAATTTTGAGGTTACTTATTGTTTGGAATTAAACGGATGAGTTTAGTGTTAGAGTTGACGTTGAACAAAAGCTTAAATGTTGAGAACTGGACATGTTACTTTATTATTACTATTTAGTTTCTGCTTTGGTTATCAGTTTGAGTTTATTAGCAATATGCTTGTATTTATTGTGATTTTAGTAACAAGTTGCAGTTTACATTTGATTTATTATAAAATGTTTCATGCGTATGAAGTGATTTCAGTGTTAGATCTATTTTGTGTTAATTGGATTGCTATTACATATAAAGTGCATATTAGCAAAAGGGTTAGACAACCATTATCTGTATTATTAGACAAGCTGTTAAATGAATCTAGTTATAACCATATAATATTTGGAAACAAATAATGCTTCTTTGGCATTGCAATATCTTTTATTAAGAATACATCATCCGAATACACATGAATGTGAAGAGTTCACCACTCATAATATAAAGATAAAGATGTGGAATGGACGGATAAATGAACAAAAATATAAGAATTTTGAAACATATGACATTAACCTATACTTTGATAATTTAAGATTACTTTCTGCTTTCTGATGCACAAGACTGAAAATTCTTATAACTATTTGTGGAGCTTGCTTGAATAAATTCTCAGTTTCAGGAAAAGTGAATGTTGTCAAAATGTTATATGTCATAGAGGACAGAGAGGGAAACTATTATTGTGAAATACAATGAAGTTTCAAACCAGTCGATGGTCTCTACGATACACAATCGCTGAATTATACATGGTTATTTAAGTCTAACAAACCAGACAGCACATCTGCTACAGTCTATACAAATAATGTAAAAAATATTCAAAGACCCTGAATTAGTTTAAATGGGAATCCCTTCTTATCCCTCCTAAATAACTGCATCTCAAAAGTTCATCAAAATTTGTGAAGAACTTTTTTTGAGATATTATGGTCACCAAAAAAAAAAAAGAAAAAAAAATCCAAGGCAGACAAAACCTATCCACCTTCATCACCAGTTGTTTTAAATTCCTTGAAATGTGAATAACAACATTTTCTTACAAAATAACATTAAGATCAACAACAATTATTAAAAACCACCCACAAAGCTTATCTATACAACGGTTGTGTATGTACCTGTATTTAACCTCATAATACCTTTGGAATGACTTATGCAATTGCTTGGATTTAACAACCTCAAAGAAATAAATCCACTTTCTAATTGCAGTTTTTGGAGGTAATTTGTTGCTTAACATTTGTGAAATAATAATTTTTAAAAATTCACATAAAGCATAACCACAACTTGCAATTTAAACAACAAAGTTTTCCTGCTTACGAAATATGGAAGAAAAAAATTCCATGTATTGCGTTTGTATCACAGTAACACATTTTACATGATTATATACATTAAAATACATATATATTTCTAGAAAAATAATTGGCAGTTCAACAGAGTGGAAAAGATGTTAACATTTCTCTGAAAGTCTCTGCCTAAAGTAATGCAGTCAAGTGCTGCCATGTGACAAAGGGGTTAAATGACTTATATCATAAAAGTATCACTCAAATAAAATTTACAAATGCTTTATAATTAAAAAGACTGACAAATGTTTGCCCTCAAATTGCAATATTGAGACAAATTAATCATTGGCCAAAAGCAAAAAGGGAGGCTCTGTCACTGCCTTTCCCACTAACAGCAGTCGATCCTCATCAAAAATATAAATGAAGAAAAAAAAAACAAAAACGAATTATGCATCATTCATATCATGTGATACAAGTAACCATTAAAAAGTATGCAGAGCAAAAGGAATCCTTGTCCCATTTACCCGAATCATTTGCATTTTTTTTCACAGGTAGTTTTCACTTTAAGTTGGATATTAAATGTTTGGTAGGACGGAATGTGACGTATGTAAGATGCATACATGTGTAAGGTACACGAAGTTCTTATCAAAAATTACCCAAGACAGAGAAAAAAATCAATAAACCTTTGTTTATATAACAACATACTTTGTTATATAAAACGTAAGTCTACACAGTTGCTTAAAAGTGGCTAATTCCTATTAAAATACCCTGACATAACAACACTTTTACTGAATTATCACAGTATTTTCATACAACTTAAGTTAATAACCACACAATATCACAACCACATGTGCATACTAGATGTTTGTAACAGCAGAACATGAAGGTGTTTGGTTTTTAAACCATTTCAATCCAGTGGACTGGATGAAATTATCCCAACTATATTCTGGTGGAGGAGATGTGAGACACTCAGACATGTATATAACATCTAGCCAATGTCAATCATCAATCTTTCAAAATTTCTGCATTTCTAAAATAAAATCTCAATCATAACTTCATTTTTTTTCTCATTTGAGTTTAGGGTGTAATATCCGAAAGTAATGTATTTCTATACTGATTTATAAAATGGAGCATTGAAAGAATCAATGGTTTTATTTAATACTGGAGGTACTGTAGGGTTTCTTAACTGCACACAAATAGTTTTACTCTGCTGGAGGTGGAGGAGGGTCCCCTAACTGAGCCCCAATACGTCTGTACATTGGTTCTCTGATTGTGTTCATTGACCGCACGGTCATGGGATGTTTGGGGCCATAGATCTCCACACAAAGGTACGCCTGTTTCTTAAAACAGTCGTAGGCTTTCAGGTAATCTCGCAGCTCTTCATAATGAATGCCTGTATTTGTCATGATCCGAGAAGCCAAAATGCACTTTTCTCCATAGACCTGGTAACACATTGTTTTGGCCTTTTCATAAAGCTGAAAAGGAAATAGTTTAATTAAATATGATTCTTACAAGTGATGGATACAAAATGGAATCAAATGTGAAAAAGTAACCCTTCACTTTAGCTGCTACGTCTCCCCTGTTTACAGAGAGTCAACTCTTGTTAACCCACTTGTCAATTTTGTATGGAAATAAGTACCTTGAGCTGTTCAGGCACAGCGCTTTGACATAACAATCCTTCAGTCATAGTTGTCTCAGCAAGCATCCCAATGTCATTAAGCTTATAAAAGACAAAAATAAAAATGTATTACTTTTTTGGTGCATATATCCATTTGTAAGGTCATAGTATTCTTAGAATGAAATTGTGCAAAAATAAATAAATAAATATGATCTACTCAAAAGTGACAAAATACTTTAAAATGAATAATTTCAAAACATTATTTCAACAGTTGCTAGAAGTGATCCTGTAAAAAAAAAACCCTTCAAATTTCAATCATAATCTATTGTAACTGTTCCTCCTTTTCACACTCTAGATTAATAACTAACAAGCAATTTGCATAAGAATCCTCATAATTTATGTAATTTTACCTCCTCAAAGACCTGTTGTGCAGCTTTAATATATTCCTTCCCATCCGTCAATGCTGCCTGTGCACTACGCTGGGTGTTACCGCCACGCAGGGACCACCCAGACAGGTGAAACGTGATCCGAGACATGTCAGATGCCCACTTGGACTGAAATCAGAAATTTGTGTCAAGTCCCAAAAAAATTTCAACAAGTCTGATCCCATTATGAGCCAATGGTAGAGAAAAAAGAGCTGTAAAGTGGAAACAGTAAGGTCCAAGGATCTCCGAACAAATTTTCAGTGTGTTTTTTTTTTTCCAGCCCCCCCCCTCCACACACACATACATCATAAATGAAAATAAATATTGTACCTTGAGTTCTTTGGAGTTGACAGCCAGGGGTTTGATGGCATCAATGGCCTTGGCATACCACTCGATGCAAGTATTCAGGTCTGGTAACTGACTTCTGTACATAAATTCATATTTCTTTATGACCTGAAATTGGAGTTTGAAACGGTTTGATATTTTTTCTTTGCAGGATCAAAAGATGCCAAAAGAGATTCCATCTGTACTAATAAATTAGGATGTATAAATCATATATCAAAATGTAATTACATGTATGACATGGTTATCGTCAAGTGAAAGAACTTACTCCTTCATCCCAGACTTTAGCCATCAGATTGTACAGACGTGCCATTCTTTCTGGTCTCTTTCCCAACAGCGTCTCTTCCATAGCCATGGCCTTTTCTGCTAATGCTTTTGGTTCTTCGAAGAACCCCACTTGAGATCTGAAAACAAATCTCACTTAAAATTTGTTTGTTCTGCATGTGCATTAAGCTTATCTCTGCTGTCCTTTTTCTTTTCAATTACTCGAAAATATATTCAGATAATTTTTAATTCTGTCAATAAGTGTTGGTCACAGTGCATGATCCAAAGACTGTAGTACCGTTATCAGTGTGGAACAACTCCATGAACAAAATGCACATAGGGACCATTCAGAATGAGCCGAGTGCTAGCTAGGCCACAACCTAAATATGGCGGACCTACATGAAAGGAAGACCGCTCTCTCCACCTTTCACACGCCTCCCCATGCGTCATCCCTGCAGGGGCACAGTAATTAAATCTTGGCTCAATTCAATCGGGTGAGGAACGACGTGTGGGGAGGCGTGTGAGAGGCGGAGAGACCATTAAAGGATTAAGCAGTCTTCTTTTCATGTAGTTCTGCCATATTTAGGTCATGGCCTAGCTAGCACGTAGCTCTTCTAATTCGGAATGGTCCCATAATGAAATGACAATGACATGGTTTCTGTGCAAGCATGCACACCTGCATGCGAAACATGTAAATTAAAAAAATTCTTTTTACTTACAATACCCTTGCAACTTTTTCATATCTCAAAGCCAACCGGGCCTCATCAAAATCAGGAGAATTTTCCATGTTGTGCAAAGCTTCCAGGTAGAGAGTTTTCATTCTGTCTGTGTCACCAACCTACAAAAACACAAAACAGAAAATTACACATCAATTTCCAAATGACTGCATATATAGTTTTTTACAGGAAATTATACAGTCACAAAATACCAACTTTGCAACCTTGAACAACATAAATAAACAAAATCTACGTATGCCAGGATCCAATGCCCTAATTTATGGAAATAACAAAATTAAAGTTCTATGTAGGATAGCCATCCAGTTGTGATTTACAAAAATCAATTCAATCAGGCTAAATTGTAACCACAGTAATAAATTTTTTTAATTAATAAGAAAAAAGTTTAATATAAAACATTTCTTAGAAATGGTAGATGCCCTGTGAGAACCTTAGTAAAGTGACTTAGACATGAAAATTTATCCAAGTTTCATGCCATACTTGATTTGATATTTTTTTTTTAGATAAGAGAGTCAACCCCTATGATTACATGTATATGTACAGGTCTGCTTTTGTGTACAAATTCATTTTGACAGAATAAATCAATTAAAAACCATCCCAGTTCACTCACCTGCCTCCAGTAGGTGTGAAGCTGAGCGCTCCAGTCTTCACGATAAAGCCTGTCAAACATTGCCCAATCCAGTAGAACTTTCTCCAGCCTGTTGGTGTCTCCAAGCTCTATCAGGTGAAAGGGAAGCTCCTGTGATATAAAGAAAAGCCACAATTTACCACAGAATTTAACATGTAAAAATAACGAGTTAGAGTACAATCTTTAACTTTTATCAATATTTAAGGATACTTTGTGCTGATACAAAGTATACAATTATAGCTCACTGACCGTCAAAGTTTTATAGGAAAAACAAAGTTTTATAAAGTGGTTATGTAGAAAAATATTTGAAGAACAAAATTTTATAAAGTTGTAATGGTGAAAAAATATTTGAGAAAGTTTATCAGTATGTCGCTGATATCAAATTGCAAATCTCTATGGACTGAACAGCACAAATGATGCCTGTTGACATCAGTGCAGACGTTGCACCCATGCTTATCTGTATCTTAAATAACACTTACAGACAAAAGAACATTTGCAATATAGACAAAACAAATCTTGCAGTCCAGCAATGAACCCTGGTTTACTGTACCTCTTCCTTTCGTTCTATATTATCCAAACCCAAGAAGAAGTCAGCAAGTTTGCTATGCCACCACCTGTACAATTTCTTTGTGTTAGTATCACATCCCTCTTCAGATTGCCCATTGAAATACCTGAGTAAATAAAATAGGTTTGACTATTGAAGCACTTAGGCAAATAAATCGGGTTTAAAGGTTGAAGTATCTTGAAAAAATAATGTGATTTCAAAATAAAATACTGTTGTAAAGTAACTGGTAAACTAATAAGTATTTTTGCCGTTATTGGTTTTCAGAAGCCAAATCACAGCTGCTATGGACATTTTGCATTCATATTTCAGAATCAAATAATTTTATAATTTTGACCACTGTTGCCTTCTTCAGATATTTGTGGTGACATTTAACAAAAGAAAAATGTTGTCTAAACAATAAAATCCAAAGGCATGCCAAGTGAAGCCAAGGCTGTTTTAAGAAATTTCCAGTATAACCCCCTCTAAAAAAATCCCACCATTTTGATGCCAAAAAGAGTGCATAAAAACACATTACTGTTTTATTGATGGAAAAAATCTTGATATACTTCTGTCTTATGGCCTTGCTTAGTGTCCTGTGATAAAAATCCAGTCGCCCTTCTCCACTTTGGCCATATGGGCGGAGGAAGGGCCTCAGTACTCTGTATACTGAAGCCCACTTGAAGTAGCTCAACTGCCCTCTAGCTGCCCCCTTCTGTGCTGCTGATCGTTTCTCTGGGGCATCTCTGGCACCTGAGTCGAATACCATGACACAATTTAAAGTACAACCAATAGAAATGGAAATTTAATCTTATCCTGGACGCTAACGTACTGGCAACAGCTTTAATGTGCAGTGAGAGATATAATTTCCATTCTTTTTAAAATTTTAATTTTGTTTTAAAAAACAACAGGATGAAGCAATACACAAATAAGTACCTTAAAAGTTAAGTGCATGTATTGTACCAAGAAAATGAGGGAAGGCATATAATAATTGTAAACTGTAATTGTCTATCAATATTAATAAGACTCCATGCCAGTAAATAATTTTTTTTAACTGAACCCTTTATATCATTCAGCCATGGCAAATAGTCAGCAAAATCTGTGACAATCTAGAAAATATCATGGTACAGTGTTATTAAATGCCTAATCCGTTTATAAGGCCTGCAGTCTCTACATTAAGAAATCTCACCCTTTTCAGCCCCACTAGATGGAGGCATGAGGTTCTCTTCATCTGACAGGAGAATTAGAAGTTCAGACTCCAGCAGCCCGCCTTTGGACACCTCAATCATGCACAGGGTGGCAATCAACAGGTTGCCGCCAGCTTCCCTCTCAAACCTCTCTAAAACTTGGGACAGTAACCTGAATCAGAAACATTTCAATTTTACTATAACTGAAAAAAAAAAAAAAAAAAAAAAAAAAAAAGAGAAATAACTGGAAAAAGTAAAAATTTAAACAAAATGATGTCATTAATGTTTAAGAAAAAAATACTAGAAGAAGAAAATTTTTTAAAGCTTACATAATTTGAACCAAAACAAATAATTAACTACAAAAATAATAAAATGCACAAAGGAAACTTTTCTATTTTTAAATCATTATTAGCCAACACTGCATAAAATGCAAACATAATGTACAGTTTCAACAATAAGACTGTCCATCAACATCAATCAGTCTACTTCCATTTCAACTTTGACCTGATGTGAACACAGCCTCAGCTGCCAACACCCACCCTGGCAGTTCCTCCTTCAAACTTTTAATCTTCTCCGTCACAGTGAAGAAGTCCCCGTGCACGCGCAGCTCCTCTAACGCAATGGACAGCCAGAGTGGATTATTAGTGGACGGTTTATTCATCAGTAAATTGAACTGACTCGGATCAAGTTGTTTGTTGTAGGTGGAAAAGAATGTCTGGACAATTTCCTAAAATTAAAAGATGTCTCATGTAATCTTACATCTATATGTATAAAGGTTTCATTTCCAAACAGAAAAGGGATAGTCAATACAGGAATTTAAACAAGGATATCAAGGCTTACATGTATTTTAGTTCCAAGAATGGGTCTCTCATCTTAATCTCTCAACTCCTACTACACAAATTTCCCTTGGTACTTTTAGAAGTTTTATAAAATTCTATACAGTTTTCCACAAAATACAGTATCCATCCTCCTCATGGCTTCTTAAAAATGTCATTCTTTATTTATGCAGGACAGACAGGAGCAAAAAGCCTAGGTCTCCTAGCATGTTTTAAAGAATTTTCTATTCTATTTCATTAACATTATCAACATTTTGCCTTGGTGGAGAAGATATCATTCTATCATTCATAATCATATGTATGTACTCACCTCTCTAGCTTTCATATCCAGGGGCTGCACAGGGAGTTCTTTGGGTTGGCTCTCCCGTTTCATCAGGGCCTTGTGTTGAGGGGTCCCCGGGATCATGGAGAACACACAGCGGACATTTGGGGACAGTTTTGGGGGCACAAACAGCATATTTAATGCAGGGTCATCATCATCCATCTGTTATAACAAAAATTAATTTAAAAAATGAATTTTGGTTAACTATGGTGGATGATTTAAAAATAAATAAATAAATATTAAATAAATGTTAATTTCAGCATATTGTTTTCATTCAGTCGATATTCCCTAAATTTGTGTCATCAAAACTGAGATACAAATAAGCAACAGTCATAACCTCATTGAACAACCCACTTCACTTGGTACATGTGGTGAAGTTCTCAAAATAATATTTCCTATAATATTCCCAGATACGTTTCGATGCCTCTCAAGGACACATTCATGACACAGTGACATCAGTGTAGATTGAAGAAGATGTCAGATTGCTGTTGCAACATATCTGTGAGTATCATGAACAATTATATTATTTTGTGACAAAAGAACAATGTGTACCAGTACATGTCCACATTACCAAACTGATGCAGCTATTTCAACACCACACTCGTACCTGATTCAGAGCATCGATCAAAATCACCACAGGCTTGGTGCTGGTGTTGGAGAGAATACTGAAACACAACTGACTTGCCGACTCCAGGTCTTTTGGCAGTTGGCTGTCATCCTGAGAAAAATGAGACAAATTGTTTATAGGTAAATGCTCCTCTGCTTGTGTACAAAATGTGCTCCCAGAACTGTAAGGCTTTGAAAATACATTTGTATAACTGATATTTTTAAATTCTGATTTACATTTTTTTTCACAAGTACTAATTTTGTGAGCAATTCTGGTCAGGTGCAAAATATAAACTAAATCAAACACAATTTTTATACCAAAACAAATAAGAGTTTGTACTAAGAAGTATGACTATAAAATCTTTATAGTCAAAACCAATGATGTGAATGCTCCTACAGCTGGGACATGAGATATCTCTGCTCAAAACCACTCTATTGATAAAACTTCTTAGGCAGACATCTCACTGCTCTCTATACATTTATCAGATGCCCAGCAACATTTTAAAATAAAACTGGCAAGAAATATTGATATTTAACTGAACAAATTATTCTTTGTCAATGCCAAGCCCACAAAAGATTATTAAACATTATTCACTGTTTCACGATGTGAATCGTTGTAACTGTTTGGCAAAATTTAAGCATTCAAGTGCAATGGTATCATTATACTTACTGTGATGACTCCCAGTTCTTTCAGGAGACGGTGAATCATGGGCTCAGCATCCGTGGATCCAGGAACTGCGCCAACAAAGTGGTAGAAGATGTGCCATTGCTGTCCTCCCCCACTGGAAAAAATGTTTTTATTACTATTCACTTGTTTTTTTTTAAAGTTCTTTTTTTGCCTATTTTTGAGGTGAAGAGGGGAGTGGGGGCTTAGGCTGGGGTTTGCATCTATTCCAGAGTACTTATTAAGCAGAAATAGTCAAAATGATGTCACTGACTGAAGAGATCGTACATCTACGAGGAAGACAAAAAGAGATTCCATTGTGCTTTCAAATCTGTCATCTCTCTGACGTAAAAAGATCTTTAATATGTTAGGCTATATCATATACTTACCCTTTTATTTCCCCCAGTTTGGCCTTGTCTTCTATTATGTCTGCCACTCTCGCCATGACAGATGATTTCCCAGACCCAGGCTCTCCCAGCACTAATAATGGGACATCACGCTCTCCCTCAGCAACATACTGGATGATCTGGGTCAAATTAAGGTAAAAGAGGATCACTACATGCTTGAAACTTTGTTGGAAATGCTTAGCCTAGCATCATGATCTCAGTTTCACAAAAGAAAATAATTATAAGAAGTCCGACCACATCACACCAATTCTGCGAAACCTCCACTGGCTACCCGTGTCTCAACAAATAGTTTTTAAAATGTTACTTTTGACTTTTAGCGCGGTTTTAAAGAAGTGTTTTATTATTATTATTATTATAAAAAATATATAAATAGAACCTTCCCATAAATATACTGCATCTTATTTTTGAAAGACTTCATAATGTCTCTAATTTAGGGGTTTTAAATGATTTTCTCATTACCTTCCACTATCCAATCAATCTTTTTCTTATATTTATTCTTATGAATTTTAATAAAAATTAGATGTAACTTATTATTAATTTAAGGACCTCTTGTAATGAAAGCCCTATATATCTGTTTGAAGAAACTAATTTCATATACTGATTCAACTCCCAACACAAAAATATGAAACTTTAAATTACTTTTCCAACCTATAAAAATATATTTTCACCAAATTCAATCAATCTTCTCACCTGATCCACCAGTGCATCTCTCCCAAGCACAATCTCACTTTTGTTCTTCATGAAAGCCTCCTGAGCATCGTGAGCCAGCTGGTATTTGTCTGTCGTTTGTTCCTTCAGAGCCGACATCGGATATTGCTCACTTATACGCTCCTTGAAAAAATCCTCCACCTGAAGAATAAGTCTTAAAAAATGAACAAAAATCCGGCGTGCGGAAAAGGGGCAGGGGCTTGTGTTGCCTTTGTAAAAAGTCCGCTCTGAATAAAAATTTATAAAAATGAATAAGGCTCTATGTCATTTCATAAAACCTACTGATATTGCTGAATACAGAGCTGTAATTACAAGGTAAAAGCATCAGTGACACAATATAGTCTGAAGTCAGGAGTTATCTGGATTCTACTAACACAGGTTTAAGTCCACTAATAATGAATATTCCAACCTCGACTTACCCTTTCTTTGAAAGTGTCAGACACTTTCAGCCTCGGCTTCCCTTTTTCATCAGGTCCTACATATTCTGCTGAATACACCAACACACGCTCAGCCTGAAAAAATTAATTTCAGTAAATTAGTTTGCAAAATTTGCTGATTAACATAAAAAATGCAAGTGCCTTTTCAAAAGCAACAAAGTCATGTTTCATATTGAAAGTGAGACCAGCTGGCAGGAAGGATCTGATTCTTTTGCTTCCCTCTTCTTTGTTTATATCTATATTTTCACTGTGCATTTTGTATAAGATCTTTCTTGCATTTCAGATCATTTATAAAGATGAACTTAAAAAGTTTCACACTCATAAACAGCTAGTGGTACATTTTTACACTTGAATATCAATTACTATGAAAAAAATCTCATACATGTAAGTCACTCTCTCTTTCTCATTTAGATATACAACAAGCAATCATTTGAAAAATAAGGTGCTAAATTAAATATAAAATAAAGGTCACCTCAAGAAGCAAAGTAGTCATAAAAAGTTTGCAGTAGCTGTACATGTTGAATCTTAATACAAGAATTTACCATATATGATCTGGAGGTAAAGAAGTCCTCTTCAGGTAATGGTGGCAGTAAGCTAGGTTTTGCAAATGACACACATTCAGAAGAACCCCTTGTGTATCAGGAAAAAAATTGAGGTTTGACAGTGAAACAGAAAATCAAGACAATCTTATAAGTTATTAGTGTATTACATCTTAAAGAACGGAAAGGGGGAAAGCAAAATTCTTGAATAAAATTTTTAGTAAGACAACATTTTTGTTTGATAATATAAGATGTTAGGTATTGAACCACACACTACAAAGAGCTTAAAAGTACTACTTTTTAAAGTATGTTACATGGAAACTTGACTGAAATTAGGGGCACAGAAACAAAATACTGTAAAATAAAACAGAGATCTGAAATATAGTGGAACGATAGAACTACAGTGATGTGTTCTATTAGGATAAAAGATCAAAAATCCATACTGACAAGAAAAATAAACAGATTCTTCACTCTTACTTACTGGAAATCTTTCTTGAATTTTTCCTTTCAAAACAGTCATTTTTTGTTGGTGATGCTTAGCTTGGTCATCGCTGTCGTCCAAAAAGCGCTTCGCATGCTCAGTTGGCATTGTTTGTAGGAAACTAGTGTCCCTCAGCATAAAGATAGCTGAAATTAAAAAAAAAAAAAAATAGGTGTGTAATATCTTTTGTTTGTTTAAAAGGATGAATAATTAAGTAGAAAGATTATGATCACACAAGTGGTGCATTGCAAATAATTGCTGGATAAATGCTCAAATTCCATCAAAATTACCAGCTCCACTTTATATACATGTAGGCCGTTGATATTTGCCCAAAAGCCAACTACATATATATTCTGCCACTTGTGTTTTAAGCTGCAGATCGAAGAAGTACTTACAATTTGGATTGATCCTCTTGTATGCTGCATGAACAATCTCCATCTCTGTGACTGAAAGTCCATAAAACAAGCGATAGTGGTCCAGGAGATTGGAGGGGACATCACCATCCTTTACAACCCATCCAACTCGCTCACTGAGAATAAATAAATAAATAACTAGAAAAGCGCTCCGAGAGGGCAGACCTCTGCTAAGGCAGCGATTTTTTATTATTATTGATTATTGATCCAGATCACCACCAAAAACTAATCACTTCTAAGTTAACCCATTTCCCACCTACCTTGAAAATTTCATCAAAATCGGTCCATAACTTTTTGAGTTATGTTGATGACAAACAAATAGACAGACAGACAAACAGGGGTGAAAACATAACCTCCTTGGCAGAGGTAAATATATAGCTACTATCAGCAAAGCAAATTATGAAAGATAGGGAACATATAAAGAAAACTCTGAATCCAACTACGCATCAAGAAAACTTTACCTATCCAGAATTTAATTTCTATTATATAATAAATATTCCACATGTTTCCATAAATCAGGAGTTTATAACAATCAAATGAAACAAATTAAAATTATAATTTCAAAATTATAATTTCAAGTTTCATGTGACAATGAAAAGCTGTTGAAATAAGTTTTTTATTGATATATAATACATTGGTATATATTGGTTTGTTTAAACAATAGCCATGTTCCTGCCACACACACCCTCTCAGCATCCTAAATGTACAGTTTAATCCCTTCAAAGTACATATAAAACATATCATGGCAACTTCTCTTCAGTGAGCTCTATATACATGTAGCACGAAAATGAACATTGGGTAATAGTATCACATCAGTATGAGATTAAGATAACACTATCTATTTGCACCCGAAAAAAAATCCTATCTGAGTTGGGAAGAACTCACCTGAGCATATTAATGAAGTAGGGCATAGTGTTCTCCTTGACACACCTGTCAATTTCTTCAAGACAGGTTCTCAAGACGAGCTCATTCGATGTATTCTTAGGTACTCCCTAATATATAAACACATAATAATAATAATAATAATAATAATAATAATAATAATAATAATAATAATAACAACGATCCTCATTATCATCAACATCATCACCATCTTCATCATCATCATTATTATTATTATTATTGTTGTTGTTGCTGTTGTTTTTGTTATTATCATAATTATTATTATAAAAACAATAAACTATTAAAAGGAAGCCATACTATATTAGATAGCAAAAAGGAAATTTCTGATTCAGAGCAGATCATTTCTTAATACTCCTGACTGCCCCCTTAACTCTTCCCCTACATACACACACACACACACATACACACGCACGCACGCACACCCGCATGCACGAACGCGCACACACACGGCTACAGTATCAAGTGTACTAACCCATCTGAGATCACATTCCACAAGATGCAGACGCCTCTCTTGGCACCAAACTCTCAAGTCTGGAAACACCTGTAAAGATGGCAGACAATGCAATTTTCAACAAGTTCCCATAATTTTTCATATATGACATCTTACCTAAAATGTGACAACTTGAAAGGTTTTAAAGCAAGCACAAATGAATTTGTCTTCGGTTAGAGCAGCATGCAAGTTTCAATAATTTTGAATTTTTTTTTAGAGACTTAATTAAAACAAAAATGTGATGAGTAATATTAAAATTTATATAGATGGTCCAAGCTTCTGTAATTTATTCAAACAATCTTCCTAAGGAAATCTGACTGAAGATATAATATATGCTAAGGAATACAATGCATATGCCCCTATCCAAAACTTTAAAGTACAAGTAATACTGATTATGATTGTATAAATTTTAGGTATAAATTGCTATTTTCTTAAACAAACAAACAAAAAATTACAATTAGCAAATTATAGAAAATCACTTAATATATAAATGAACTGATCATACCTCTTTCACTAGGACTTCCCTTTCGGCATTAAAATCTTTAAAAGTGGACGACACAAATATACGGACTGTCTTCCATCCTGTTCTCCTTTCTGGGAGGATGTTAACTTTGGTGCCATGTTTAACAAAATCCTCAGCCTTAGCCAAAGCATGCCATGTCTTTGCTATGTCAGCAAAATCAAAGTTAGAAGCTGGTTTTGTTCCAAGAGGTGCATAGCCTGAGCGAGCTCCAGGAGCCAAGCCTGTGGTACCTGTAGATGCACCACAACCCATTGAGAAGCCTATAAAATAAATAAGATTGGCTAAAGGAAAGTTTAATTATGAGAATTGCAAACAAGTACTGCAATGAATTACCCAGGCAATGTGCATGGTATTCATAGACTTTTCAATACTCTATCAAAAGAGAATGTATTCAGAATGTGATCTTACTGGGTCAGTGTCTCTTTTTCTGATCTTCAATATGGACATGTGTACAATTTGCTTGAATACTGTGACATTCACCTCTCCTTTCCCCGCCACTGGTGCATTTGATGCAGAAATAATATGGACATATTAACAGACTAGGTTAACTCATCCAGCAAGATGTAGATATTACAAATATTTAAAACAACGTAAAATTTTAGATTGATATCTGAATTTGTTTCAGAGTTATGACATTCCAAATATGTGACTATATATCTTTAACAACAAATAAAATAAAATAAAATAAAATAAAATAAAATAAAATAAAATAAGTACTTGTATTCCAATGTTTTGGGAACATTCCTGCTTTGAGTGTTTGTAATACTTTTATGCACCACTGCAGTGATAAAAGAATTACCAATACCACACTTATAAGTATACTTATAAGTATTTTAGTCAGTCCAACATGTACAAATTGATTTTAAGACTGAACTATTAAGTTCAGAAGCTCATCTTCTGAAATGAGTCGCATTAAAAAATTATACAGGATCTCTGCTGAAATGAGAGGCATTAAAAATTATATCGGATATGTGTCCTTCATTTAGTGACGCTAACCTTGCTTTCATTTAAGCTTTTAAAAATGCTTTTAAAAATGCCAACATTTTCAATGTGATATTTGTATCCCCATCAATAAAATATTAAAGCATTACAGTTACAATTAAACAGCAATGGGATATAGTGAGCACTTATATTTTAGCGCACCAGCTGTCACTAGGTCACCGTGACCTAGATGTCATGTCACAGCGACCCCAAGTTCTTACTGAAATATCATATTTCTGAAACCATTTCAGACATCAATCTAAAATTTTCGGGTTTTTTTTTCTTATCTAAATGATATCTACAAATATGTGAAAATAAATAGGTTTGTTGGCAGAGCTAGATACGTTGATATGGAATGACCCACAGGACCCGTAGATCTACACGTATTACATAATTTACTAGCATACTTGTAAACAGGTAAACCCATGCATCATTTGCCTCATTAAACAAAGCATTATTTCAGTAAATTCATTTAGCCTGATAAAACATACGCATTACTCTGTTATGATTGTAGTTTTCTAAGAAGATGCTATATTGTGGAATACTCACGTTAACAAATCTAGTGCTTCTCGGGCAAGATTTGTTCAAACATTCCACAGACTTTATTTTCGCAATGTTTACAACGGTGTCCAAGCGTAGTCTCGATCGGAGAGTTAATCTTTTCGAACCTTTACATAGTATCAGGTATTATGTCATCTCAAGCGAGGCCGAAGAATGGAGAAGTATTTCTCGAGGATAATAGATGGCAGCATCACGCGGTGCTCTTGCAAGACAGAACAAAGTTTGACGCCATAGGCACACTAGTTAACGTGAATTTTTTTAAAGATTTAAAATATACTAGGTTCATGGCATTTATTTTGAGAAATTCCAGTATTTTCAATTGTTCATTAATTGGAAAAGCTTTTTTTTACACCAGAAATCATGACAATGACAAAACTAAATTCTTGGGCCAATACACTATAGTAGATATTTTAACAATTAAAATTATACTAATTATACTTAATAAAATACTAATAAACCCGATTTTGAAAGACTTTAAAATAAAAATAAATGTTAAAAAGTTTTCAATGTGACCCTTCAAATTATAAAACAGTAATATATAAGCAATAAAAAATAAATTTTATTATGATATGTGAAAATGCAATTCCATCCCTATTTCTTATAAAAATTTCATTTTGGAATAATTTTTTAATGTATTTATCAAAAATTGTATAAATTGAACTTCTCTTAGGAAGTATAGAAAGCATACAAAAACAACAAAACACACAAGTTAAATAATACTGTAACTACACTATTTATATTTTCATTAATATTCAACGATTTCTTATCTATATTTCTTCGTGACTTAGTATGATATTGTATTGCACTCCATATTATATATATATATATATATATATATATATATATATATATATATATATATATATATATATATATATATTTTTTTTTTTTTACAAAGTAGTATTATTAATGAATAAATTCAAAACTGAGCAAAAAGTCAATTAAGATAAAGAAATAAGAAATACATAATAATATAATGGCCCTGTGTCTTAGTTTTTGTATGACAAAAAGTAGCATTTCATAATGAGTAGTATGGCATACACATTTCTAAATGTTTTCAATGAAAAATAAAAATATTTCAAATTTTTATGTTTTTTTACATACAGATTTTAATACCAATGAATTACATAATATTAAGAAGGCATGCCATAACGGTGATTTTTTAAAAGTATTAATATCAGTTTAGTAATAATATTTATTTAAGTTTGTGTCTCATTATTTATTTAGCTTTAGTTTAGTGCACAGCTGCAATATTTGTCTCCTCATCATCCCAAGCCACTGAAACAGTTTAACAACACAACAACCTCTACCAACTTGCACAGAAGTTGACATGTTATCATTATAACACCTATCACAAAAATTACATGTAATCCCAGTAAAACTGTTTTTTACATCACAGGCAATGCCTGCATGACTGGCAGTCTTCGCATTATTAGACACAGTAGCACCACTATTGATTTCAAGAGCTGAGATGTCACAGTCTTTGGGATCCAAATTCACACCATCACAATGTTTTATACCACCCATATCAGTAACCCTGCTAACATCATTGGCAATGACATCATGGTCACAAATGTCCTCAAATGCAGTGTCAACATTTTTAGTCTTGACATTGTCATCATTGTCAATGATATTCATATTACTATTCACTGTAGTACACATTTTGGCATCAACCTCAAGATTGTCATTGAGACTGTTGTCATTGCTGGTTTCAGCCTTGTCACCACTGCCATTAACAGTAATGATAACAGTTTCACCAGCAGTGACATCTTGTACCTCTGGGATGCTACCTGTATCATTGACATTACTGGCCTCAGTGTCACGCGTCTCGGCATTACTGACACTGACATCATTGGCATCAATATCACAGATGCTGTCAGCATTGACTTTATCATCATGGAACGTAGGGACACTGGGAATGCCATCACTAGCATTGACATCATCAGTGCTGACATCAATGACGTCTGGGGTGCTGTCATCGACATTACCAGCCTCGATGTTGTCTCTCTTGAGTTCTGGGATGCTGTCATTGACATTACCAGCCTCATCGTCGACTCTCTTGAGATCTGGGGTGCTTTCATTGATATTACCAGCTTCAATGTCATCTCTCTTGAGATCTGGGGTGCTGTCATTGACACTACCAGTCTCAATGTCATCTTTCTTGACAGCATACCCATGATCAAACATGATGTCGTCCACATCCAGTCCCTCCCTTATTCTTTGCAAGTTTTCTTCCAGTTCATCTTCTGACAAAGCTCCACTAAAATATGGTGACAGGGGGTCTTCACTGTTGGGGTTATGCATGAGGAAAAGCAGTCCTTGTACGCAGGTCTCTAGACCAAATGTCTCTTGCCATTCATCAAATAAGTTCAAGCAGATATTCGTATAGTCTGTGTCACACATGGGGTCTATATTAGGGTGGTAGATGTTTGTTTTGCAGATTACGTCAGGGTACTGACTTGGGTAATTTTCTGGAATTTTGATCTGAAATTATAAATAAAGTTGATTCACATTCAAGCTATATGTATGTAAAATCAATTTATATGATCAGTAATAATGTATACTCATAGCATATGGACATTAATTTAAAACAAATATGATATTTAATAATGCCAACCTCTATAAGAGAATATATGCATAGGATTAATATTTTGAGTGTGTACTGTATATGAATTTTAAAAATAGGCATTGAATTGTCTAATTTTAGAGACATTATGCAGTTTCTGTGGAGTCATGAATATTCTGAGTTGCATTTAATAACTGAAATTTTAAACATATATAAGGTTCAAGTGATAGGCCTTGCTGCAGGGTATATGCAGCTATATACATGTACCATTCATTATGCAGTTAATTCAAAACACAATTATGAAAAATACATGTAAATTAGTTTTTTTTTCGACCTTTGATTGAACATTAACTTATATATTTCTCTTCTTCATTTATAACTAACACCAACAATTACATAAACATCTGCATTGCATTTTCATATTTTGATCCTTTTTAATTAAGATATATATATTCTGAATCAATTTAAGCTGCATCATTGACTTACCTTGAATAAGTAAACTCCGTCTCTGTATGGCCCAGCATTAGGTCGTATTTCGATCTGAAACTCTGAGAGCTCCTCGTCTGGATCCCAGTGAACCACCTTCACCTGGTCCTCCGTGAAACTCCGCAGGTTCTTCAAAAGAGTATGGAACTCCTTTTGGATACTCGAAGCCATCATGGGTATTCGAATTTATAAATAATTTTAAGCTGAACGAAAATGTTAATTGGTCTGTTTTCCGACAATATACTTTGTAAACTGCAAATATCCTGTAGAAATGAACAGAAGAATAAGTGGTTACTATATTTTTCAGATTAACTGCCCGACAGTAACTATCAACTAAATCACTTAGTAAAATGTGGATGTAAAATTCTTCTTCGCTTCTTCCTCGACCCCATAACTTCCTCGAGTGCCGACCAACGCGGTCCCCAGCTTGTTTTAATGCATACTACACAGGCCACAGCTAGCCACGCCAATTATGGACAGATCGTTAAATTTGCTTACTTCACATTTTGTCGAGAGTGGTGAAATCAGCATCTAAACCTCCCTTATATAGCTATTTCCAAGGCTGATGCAAACGCAAGCAATATAATGCTATTGTTTACAACAACGTCATTCTTTGTTACTATTTTTAGCTGGATTCTCCAAGATAAGCCCAATACTCGCTGGTGTTCTTTGAGGGGAAATAAAATCATCAATTCCCAAATCACATCAAAAAGAAATTCATTATTATCTCACTGAAAATGCGGGAAATACTTGTTGAAAATCGGGAATCACCGATTATAGTGACTTCGTTTCTGATGTACTTAGGGCCAAACTTCAGACCTTTTTACCCGGCAAATTTTAACTTTAAAAATTATTGCTGCCCTGCAATTGTTTGGTGAAGTTGGTCTCGCCGATTAGTCATTCGCTCATAACTTCAGAGTCACTTTCATAACTTGTCTTTATGCTGTCATTTCTCCTTCATAGTGGCAACAGTGAGGTTCTGATATGCTTTAAATATATATATATATATATATATATTTTTTTTTTTTTTGGGGGGGGGGGGGTTATTTCGTTCAATTTTCTGATTTAAATTTTGTTTTCTTTGCCGACGAAAGATTGCTTGGAGCCATCTTTTTAAATACATTTTTACTGATTTATCTTGAATTTTGAAACAGGGACTCATCATGACTTACGGGCCAGTCACAGTCGGTCATGGGAGTGACAGTGGCGGATTAAGGAGGGGGGGGGGGTAGGGGGTCCTGACCCCCCCCCCTTCGATTTCTGAAAAAATCACACCAATGGGCCTCTCTTGAAATTAGAATTTTGTGTAGCTGAATCATAGTTTTAAACCGTTAGTTGCAATGGCACCATTCGCCTTCTAAATACCAAAAAAATTCGGGGCCCTTTTTCGGGGCTCTCCTCACTACTATTTTGGTATAATTTCAACCTTTTGGCTGCTTTGCTTTTAAAAAAATTCTTCTTCATCTCCTTTTTTGTCATTACATAGCGTACATATATACTGCCAATCAGTTACTCGAAATAAAGCACTTTCGACACGGTTTAAATGGTGATATACTGTATACATGTATTAGCGATGGTGTTTATCTGGGCCCGGTTTCATCAAGGCTGGATAGCGCTATCCTATGGCTAAAAATGGCCGCTATCTTCTGGATAGAGCTGTCCAGAGGATAGTGCGTTTCATCAACAGTGGATAGCGTTATCCAGAGGATAAATCAGCTTATCCAGAGGATAAAGTTGTCCGCTCGAAATAGGTGGGATAAATCTGCTATCATGCTGTTAAATCATCAAAAATGGCGAACCTGTTTGCTTTGGAAGTAAATCCTATGAGATTTCACAGGCGTAGAATGATTAGAAAGAGAATTTTAGAAGATGTATGTTTGCTTTTGATGATTTAAGTGATGCTGAATCAATAGATTACATAACAGACTTTATCAAAGTTGACATCGCGCCTGCTACGAACAAAATCCATGCAATCTCCCTGAGAGACCAATTATCTTTATTTTACTAAAACATACCTTTTAAATCGACGAAAAATGTCTACACTGCTATTGACAGAATCTGCCAAA